TGTCTGTCTATCTGTCTGTCTGTCTATCTGTCTGTCTATCTGTCTGTCTATCTATCTGTCTCTCTATCTATCTATCTGTCTGTCTATCTATCTATCTGTCTGTCTATCTATCCATCCTTCTGTCTGCCTACCCTCCCTCCCTCTCGCTCTCTTTGGAGGCTGTGGAATCGGCAGAGATTCCCAATGCTGTAACACAGAGACAGTTTCCGCAGGAACAAGATGGACCTGTTGCTTTTACAAAGAGGTTGTCTGTGCTCTCACAGAACCCCTCAGACACACACAGCCTCAGGTGGAGAATGGGGTGGCTGAAGATCAGGGGATGTGACTCAGACAGCAACCACCACCCCCCTTCTCCCCCCCCCCCCCCCCCAGGTTCTCTTGTAGCCCCGCATTTCTAAGTTGCTGCAGCATTCCGCAGTCCCGAGTGATTCTCTCGCTGAAAAAAGACAGAAAATATGGCGAGCCGGAGAGATTTACCCGTCAAAGTATCTGCGGCAGCTGTTTCTCTCTAAAGGGAACAGTAGACTTTAAAACAAAACCCTCCCCTCCCCTTTAAAGATGAACAAGACCATTCCTCCCTTCCCATCCTCCAGGAGTTGGTTGCCCTGTCCCTGAACAGGACTCAAAAAGCTTGTTGCTAAACTCCAGGGAACTCAGCGGGACCTCATCCACCGCTAATCTACCCGAACAACCCAAACTTTCTGTAGTGTCAACCCGAGGAGTAAAGCCAGTAAGACAAGGAGAGCTGAAAAACACACTCTCACTCCCTCACACACACATTCACCCTCACTCCCTCACACACACATTCATCCTCACTCCCTCACACACACATTCACCCTCACTCCCTCACGCACACATTCACCCTCACTCCATCACACGCGCATTCACCCTCACTCCATCACACATGCACTCACACTCACTCCCTCATGCACACATTCATCCTCACTCCGTCACACACACATTCACCCTCACTCCCTCACATATGCACTCACCTGCCTTACACACACACCCATTCCCTCACACACGCACTCACTCCCTCCCTTACACACACTCGCTCCCTCCCTTACACACACACACTCTCCTCCAGCACACACACTCTCCATCACACATGCACTCACTCTCTTACACAGTCCCTCACACACAGACACTCTCTCACAAATACGCACTCTCCCACACACACATTCCCTCACACATGCACTCTCTCACACATGCACACATATACTCACTTCATCACACGCACACACACTCTCCCACACGCATTCCCTCACAAACATGCATTCACTCCCTCATACACACTCTCTCCCACACACAGACACTCCCTCATGAACACGCACTCACTCCCTCACACACATATACTCATTCCCTCACAGACACACTC